TCACCAACATTTCCCTCTTACTTTACACAGTGTAACGCATAAAGGAATGCTCTCCTAATAAACCAATTTTACACAAAGTACATACAGTACACGGAAATATTTACCATAATGTCAGCAAACATTACAATTCACTAGACATAAAAATACAGATGGGTCTAAAGGAAAGGGGGTGTGTTAAAAATAAAACAAATTTAGTATCATGTTATTTAACCTTTGCCAAGAATTTTGTACTGTATGAAAAGGGGAAACCCAACAGCAATTCTCAGGTTCACCACAAGCAGTCACTGCACTTTAAATGTTATTAAAAAAAAAGAAAGAAAGAATAATGCTAGATTTCCCCCCAATCAAGTATGCACACTAACATGGTTTAGCTTTTAACAGCAACTTTTAATGATTTTATTTACTAATACAGATGTATTCAGTTCTGCAGCCTGAATAGAAATATGTAAAGCAAATGCATTGATAATTATTATTTTTTTATTTCTCTTAGCACTGTCTTAGATTATTTTGAAATATGGAACTTTGCAATTAAGACTCTTTTAGGAATATGTAACATCTTCCTTTTCAGGTATTAGCAAAGCACAAATGACTATTCACTTATGCACTCTTCACATCCACAACCTCCAATTACAGTAATTTAGTTAAATGTTTAACATCACTTTATTAACCCTTACAATCCCTTGCATTAGGAATTATCTTTTTGCATACCCCAGCTTGCTTTCCATGAGACACACAGACAGGGAGAGAGCCCGGGGTCAGAGCACAGGGTCTGCCATTGTACAGCACCCCTGGAGCAGTTGGGGTTAAGGGCCTTGCTCAGGAGCCCAACGGAGTAAGATTCCTCTGCCAGCTGTGGGATTTGAACCAGCAACCTTCTAACCACAGGCGCAGAGCCTTTGCCACAGAGCCACCGCTCCACCCCAACTTTGTTATTGATATTATTTTAAAAAACACCCCAAAACCTTGCTATTCACTAGCCCTGTGTTACTGTACCCTCCTGTATTCCATCACACTCTGTGTACTCTTTTTGCCTTCTTACAAACACCACTTGCTTTGTTGCCACTAAAGAATTGTAGACCCAAGAATCCTCCATTTTGCTGCAGCTGTACTTCTTGAAGCATTTATATTTATGTATAGGCCTTCACAATCTAAGAACAGTATCTTAAGAAAATGAGAAATACTTTAAAATGTGAACAAATAAACACTGAAGCGAATGACTAATGTGGTCAACATGGAGGTAGAGTGGTTAGCATTACTGCCTCACAGCCTGGGGTCCTGGGTTGAATTCTGGACCCGGGATGCTACTGTATGTGCGTGGACTTTGTATGTTCTCCCTGTGTTCACGTGGGTTTTTTGAGCAGGTACTCTAGTTTCCTCCCACAGTTCAAAGACATAGTGAAAGGTTAAGTGACTTCTGGGAAACCTGGCCTTGCACCTGTTGTTTGCCAGGATTCGCTCTGCCTACCCCACGGCCTTGTATTGGATAAAGTGCTTAGAAAATGGATGAAAGAATGAATGCCTAATACAACTGAAAATAAATCAACATAAATCTCTTTTTAGGTACTGTATATGTGAGATTTTAACAGAAATTTGCACTCATTAATGGAAAGTACAGTTGAGGTAAACATCGGATACGACAGTGCATGTATAAGCCGTTTTTTGCTTCCTTGTACTGTATATGTAAGGCTAGAAGGGGAAATTGCTGTAGACTTTGGTTTACAGAACGTCAGAGTGACCCTTGTTTTGCTTTTCCTGCGCTTTTGTGTTAGAGAAATCGAACAGTTAGGTGTAATCCACAGTGATTCATAAATTGAATGGGGGGGATTTCCGATATCCCAAGGGGTAATAAAACATAGAGATTTAGGTAGAAGGCTGAAGTTTGTAGACCAACGGAATTCCCCCGGCAAGACAAACACTGCTGGCCACTCAAGTGGGTAAGGCTGCACCTGCTAGCTTGGTCACATGATTAGAAACAGGCAGCAGCAAGTAAATCTGAAAGAACCTTTGATTTTAGTCTGACTGATCTCCTAGCTGTTGGAGACTCTTTTGTTGTAAATGTAAAGATAACCAAAAAGAGTTAGTAGTGGTGTGAACACGATGGGTTTATGTTCCTAACTAGACTGAATATGTCAGCAAAATTAAAAGAAGTCATCAGCTTTACAGTTGGTTAGCTCTTACCTTGGTCGTTTTCAAACAACACCATTCTTCCAGCTGCCCAACTGTCCTTTTCTCTTTGATCACTCAATAAAACTCGATAGAACAGCAGTACCATCCAAGAGCAAGCCAGTAATTAATTATCCATCAGACAGCCAATTGTCTTCCTAGAGTATCAGGGGACATGGAGTCTACCCTGGCAACATACAGTACAGCCTTAGGCAGAATTACTCCCTGAACAGGATGTCTGCCCATCACAGGTCACATAAACAAGCACCTACTAACAGGAGGATTTACAGACACCAGTCAACATAACGAGCTTGTCTTCTGAAGATGAGAGCAACAGAACACAGGGAAGAACACAAAAAAAAGGAAAGACATGTTAACCTCACGTAGAAATATGGAGAGGACATGTTGATCTCTCACAGAAACATAGGGAGGTCATCTCACCAATGAATATACCATAAGGAGGACATGTTAACCTCACAGAGGGAACATATGAAGAGATACTGTATATGCCTTTTCATAATGAAAGAGTTAGCTATCTACTACAACTGATAAAGTTGCTCCCTAATAAAAAACTCCACACTCTTGGTATGAAGGCAGGTAGAGTTGTGTAACTTTATTGAACACTGATTTGTGTGTTTACACATGAAAACCCAAAAGTAACCTATTTTTACCTCTTCACTGCTTAGCTCCTTGCGAAAATTGTGAATTTCTTTTTCATGCTCAGCAAAACACTCTGTTCAAACACGTTTTTTCAAATATGTTTACAAGGGTTCTTCTCAGCTAGCAGTGTTACTTCCACAGTATGTTATTTTTTTCTCCGAAAATGACAAAAACTACTAGTTAAGAAACAGATTTGTTTTTGGTTAATCTCTGAGCACATACCTTATTGCTCATTAAGTGTCAGAACTACAGTCTTAAATTTTACTTTTAATTTCTTTAAGCCTGCCAGTCTGCATTTTCGCTGAGAAACAGAAGTTTCTCTTTCCTACACTGACCTCTGCTGGAAGCTATTAAGAATGACTTACATTTTAGCCCAAGACCACCCTAAGGGCTGTTTAAATAAGTAAAATCAAATATCATAATGTAATTTAAGCATAGACCTATTTTTTCTGAAACTTTCCGAAAGAAAAGTAATCATAGATTAGTTTCATAGGTATAAGAAACAGGCATAACTAGTAGATGGGTTCAAGTTGTGTAAATAATATAAATATTATATGAAATAAATAATACAAAAGGAACTTTTTAGTCTGTTATGTTACTTCCTGTAAACCACCTAGGCTCCTCAGAGCTACACTCACAGAGTAAGATGTAAATATTTGGTTTGTGATCATACTGAACGTTGACAATGAGTAAGAGAAAGCAGGCAATGCTTGAAAATGGTATGCAGCTGCATCTCTTGCACAGTTGCATTACTTTTCAAATGAACCCTTACTCTTTTGAAACTGACAAGAACAAATATGAAAATTCCCAAAAGGAGTTGACATTTATGCAACTGAAACTTTCAATACTGTACCTCTTATTTATAAAGATTCCTATATTTTACCTAGGTAAGACGTACAGTACAGCTAACATTCATAGAAACGTAAAAATTTATGTTTTTAAAATATAATTTAACACCACAAGAATTGCTAACAGATATTAATGCACCTACTGCATTTCCAGTACTGTTCTGTAAAAAACGATCCAGTAATTCAAAAATAAAAAAAAAAAAATAAAAAAAAACAGTCAAAAGAAAGAGCGTAAAAAAGTAGTGTTAGAAGCTGCACTAACAAAGTAACAAAGTCGTGTTGTAAACGTTCAGTGAAGGGTATCGTTAATTTATTCTGTATCGCCATTCGTACTGTATACTCACTTATACAGTATCAATGCCAACTGATCATATCCACGAAGTGAAGAATATTGCTTAGTGACATGGACCCTAATATGTGTTATGGAGAGTTTTATATATACATACCATCTTATATTTAATACATAAGTTTTGTATATACCTGTATCTGTGTCGGGACGAATACCTGACATTCAAGCCAAGGTCCCAAGGTGACAGTCAAAAAAATCACAGAACTGAAAATGTTTGACTGATTTCTGGTCTTCAAAAACGAAGACATCTGTTCCCAGACATCTGTGGTCCTGGTGGATACAGTAGATTAATAAAGAGATACAATAAATAATGTTTTTTTTAAAAAGCTTGAAGGCATAGAGATCACATTTCTAATATTTACAAAGAAATAACAGCCCCTAACATTGAAGAGCACCCTTCATCTTTTTTCTTTACTTCATGTAATTATGTTCCGTTAAAGAATGAATGACTTTAACATTAAGGTCAAAAGTAGCCATTCTTGAGCGAATTGAGCCCTCTGGTGTGTAATCAAAACATTGCATACGATTATATGGGTGTCTTTTCAGGTTGCAGCCTTTATCTCTTATCAATATAACTTTAGGAAGCAAGTTGCAAAGTGCTTTTGATTAATTGTTTTCGATGGAGATATACAAAATCATAGATTGGAGAATTTAAATCCTGCAGCTACTATGTTTGTTAATTATGGGAGTATATGCACACCTATATTCTGGTATTATAAATTACATTTAGATTACTTGCTGTACACAGACCAGATATTTAAGGATTGTTAATCCACATTACAGCGCTAACACAGTGTTAAGCATGGTAAATATATTATTTTAATTAGAGAATAGAAAACAATATCTATTAACAATATCTACAAAACACAGTATGTAAGAAACTTATTCCTTTGAACCTTATATTAGGCGCTATGCGTACAGTACGCCGAAGTACACACCTCCACTGTGGAAAACCCTCCTTGCTTCAAATCCTAAAGGGAAATGAAATCTGATCTCCTCTTAGGTAAAAGCGTCGGACAGTTACTGCTTCAGTGAAGCAGGTTCCCCAACTGCGGTTCTTGCAAATCCACGTTTCTTCTTGAATAAGGAAGTTGTTCTGCGGGTAATTAAGGTGTGTTCTCACGACCGGGTGAGGAAATAATAGTCTCTTTTACCTATGGCACTAAAAGGACTATTCGCTGGAAAAGGAAGTCTCACAGCCGAGAAGCAACGGTGGCTGTTCAGCTCTGTGAGAACTGGGAGGCTTACTTTCGGACAGGCTTGGGATCTAATGAATGAGGACGTGAAGACTATGGAAATGCCTAAACTCGCCATAGACGTCCCGCAGGTGCAGTAGAAAACCCGTTTTAAGGTTATATAGATATGCAGAATATAGATATTGTTACATTGTCACAGTTTGATTGTCAATGACCTTTCCTGCTGCTGCAGAGTTACAACTTGCCTTGGTGACAGAATTACTGTACGTTCGAGTTCCTTGGATGCTTATCTGGTGTTTTATTAAAGCTGTAGAGTACTTATAATTATAAAAGGAGAATATTTGACTAAATTAAAAATAAAAACATTTAAAAACATGCATAAATACCATTGACGTACAACCCAGTGTATAACTTCAAACATATAGCCGGAGATGGAATATTCTGAAAACGGTGATTGGGTTGGTTTGTTGGGTCAGTAATCTGCAAGGAAAGTACGTCTCACGTGTACCGGCTCATACGGTTTTGAGCTAGAAATGTATAAAGCCTCTCTAGAAATACAGATCAGGCTTTACATCTTACAGCTATATATATACCTCAGATAACCCCACAGTTCCATATACTGTACAGTACACACACCCAATACCCAGTGTTGTTGTAGAAGATGCTGTCACTTGAATGAAGCATATTCAGAATCTGTGTAAACTGTGGACAGTGTTTGGTGACTATTCTTTGACAGTTGTAAACGTAACGAAACTAAGAACATGAGTCCCTAATTCCGCACTCTTAACGATCCCAGTAGTCTTTTATGTGCTATGAAAGTAGCTGTTCAGATGATTTCTTTGAGTTAGAAGTGCATTTAAATTTGAGTGCGTTTGCGACATTTTGTACTGTTTTTCAGTAAAGGATATGCGAAACGTTAATAAAATTATACATCATAACATATGACGGCTGTCTTCATCAAATGCTTGTATTGAATATCGCAAGCTTGAAGTTTATGAAGATGTTAAGAATTCCAAATTATTTTCACATTATTCTGTGAAAGCATGTCATTAACATTCATTTCCTTTTTAAAAGAAGGTAGTAAGCGCAGCTGTTCATTCCCTGGTAGTTCTCAGAGCAAAATATAACTCACTTTTACACATTGCAAATTTGTACACTTATGAAGTATTTTATAATTATAAGTATTATGGAATATTTATCAATAATGTGTCATTGATATGCTGTTAATACATCTTCTCTGAATAATACTTTAGATCTGATAATTATCTGAATAATCAAAGGTCTCTATCACAGTAGTACTGTCTCTACCCAGTACTTTTTATTTCAAAACCATTTTCTACACAAAATATCATGCATGCAACAATTGTACAGTACATGTTTATTGTGCAAGTATTACAATTATAATCAGATGGCATACTGTACATACTGTATTATGTCTACAGCCATCAAAGGGTTTAAAAAGCTAAGAAAAAGTACAAAACGGCATACAGAAAACTGGCAGTGGGTATCCAAAATCAATACTGTATTTCTGGTGCTCAGTCTCCAGTGGAATTATCGCAGGAGTGCAATATAGAAGGTTACACTGTGGAGTGATCACTTGTTGACCACTTGTTGTGTTTCTTATCTGTTTAACTGTGTTCCTTATTACTGTAAATGCTGTTCTCTTTTTCTGCTGGTCACCAGACTGTTTGACTCTCTGAAATCCCAACTTTTACTTTGCAGATCAGCTGATGTGTTTTATCCGTGTCCTGCAAAATAAAGCCCTTCAGAAGCAATGTGCTAAAAAAGATAATTATACAAAGAAATGTAGAATTAAATAATGCAGATTATATGAAACAATGTAGATAATATGGTTGAATGCCTGACTTTGTAAACTATCCTTTTTATCATTTTCTTTGTACTTAATTGAGCAAGCCAGATGGAAAACAATTAGTGTGTTTTCACTTTTTCTTTTGCACGTGTTTTTCAGCTCAGCAATGAGAAGCAGCTCAGTATCATGAATATGGTGAAGAGAGGGGAGCTGACCATCGAGGAAGCTTTAAACGAGGCCCGGAAAGAGAAATCTGAAGTCCTGAAGCAGAACAGGCTATCCCATGTAAGGACAATCAGTACCTGTCACTTTGCTCGATGTACAGTTCATGTAATGGCAAATGACGAGATATTTTATCTGTATTTCCAAGTACAGCACTTTTTTACTATAATAGGATAGTTCCTCCTGTAACTTGAAAAAAAAAACTGTGGAGGCCATTCAGATGTGCGTAGGTGCTTGAATGTGGCTTTGACCTTCTGAAAAAAACATCAAAGCAAAATGGACCTCACCACTTTGTTCATAATGTTCCCTGTGCACTAATCCCCGTATTGTGTGTCGCCCATCAGCTCAGCGTTACAAGGAACAGTATGAATTACAGTATTAGCTGCAGCTCTTTTTTTCTGCTGGTCGCCATGCCATGCCATTTCACTCTCTGAAATCCCAACTTTCACATTGTAGATCAGATGGTGTGTGTTGCTCGTGTCCTGCATGTCCTTCAGAAAAAATGTACACATTGTGTTAAAAAAAGAGTATTATTTTTTGGTCCTGAAGTACTTTGAAACCCGTTCAGTTACTATATGGATGTAACCTGGTAGTTAGAATGCAGAACATACAGTACAGTATGTGTTGAAGTAAGACATCAGAAAGATATTTGATTGGAAAATCCTTGAACTAATACACTTATTAGATATGGATTTCGCAGTCAGTTTCCCAGTAGGTTTGTATAATAAAAAAGCTCTATTTAGAATTGCATCAACCTTGCTTATCGCGAGCAGAACTCTTACAGCTCTTAGATGTGTCTTTAAAACCAGCTTATTTGATTAGCTAGAGTTATAGAACCCTGCAGCCTCACAAGTACTGAATTAATGGAAATTTTCACACTACTAGTAGAGCGCAGAATTGATTTTATAAGCTACCTACTTACTTTTAAATCTCTTTATGAATATACAACACTCTTACCTGGCTGATGTAATGATTCTAAATATTTCGAAACAAGCCCTGGGAAAGATTAGAGTTAGAAGTTCTTAGAGCCTGGTGTTACTGTAATTCTTTTGGCACTTGAGAGAGAGCTCTGCTTATACCCTCCTAATGTCTGCAGTACACCAAGTAGATTAGGCAAAACAAATCTTTCTTTTAGGGCAGTATGGTGGCACAGCACAGAGGTTAGCATTGCCTCTTTGCTGCTCTGGGTGGCTAGGTTCAATTCTAGACCTGGGGTGCTACAGTATGTACAGTATGTAGAGTTTGTATGTTCTCCTTGTGTTTGTGTGGGTTTCCTCTGGGTGCTCTGTTTTCATCCCACAGTCCAAAAACATACCAGTAGGTTAATTGGCTTCTGGGAAAATTGGCCCTGTGTTGGACTGGGGTCCCACCTAAATGCCTATTACTTACCAGAATAGGCTCCAGCTCCCCTATGACTCTGTACTGAATAAAGGGATTAGAAAATGGAAGGATGAATCTTTCTTTGTGCCATATACAGAGAAGCTGCTTTTCTGCAAGGGAAAGGACAATAAATTAGCCCTTTTTACAGCTTTTGATCAAGCCTGATAGCCAAACCCATTCTCTTACATTTTTTGTGTTTTGGGGATTCGCTTCCCCTTCATAAGACCATGTGCTATAGTCCCGAACCTGAAGCCTTTTTAAGGACAACTTAGAAGAGGATTTTAATAAGAAATTAATTTAGTTCAAGTACCGTAGGTAGTAGTCACACCTGAAGAAGGTTGTGTTTCCTTTCTTATCTTTTCAGCATGGATTAATATACTTCACAGTCCTCCTCATTCCATGCATCCTGAAAGAATGTTGCATAACTGTACCATTTCTCCTCCAGAGAACATTTGTTTTGAAAGCCAAAACCTACCTAACAGGACTTGGAGCAGATATCTCAGTTGTAATATCCTAACATCAGCCATGTCCCCGACTACTAGATAGGGCAAAGCCTACAGTATATGGTTTATAGATCTGTTTTATTTAACTGTTCATCTCAGTATCTGCAGAAACATCTACAACCCAGGTGTTAGAGTGAGCTTCCCCATTGCAGTCAATAGAACACTTCAATCTGTAAATTTAAAAACGGAACAGCAAAACCCTTGCATGCTTTTTAAAGGTTCTCTAAGCAAATCATTAAGCATTTCTTTTGGAAATGAGGAACTGAGATATTCTCTAGGAGGAAGTAGAAATTAGGATTTCCACTACCCATAATGATAAGACCAATTTAAATCGACTACATGGTGTTTTAATGTTGTGGACAAAACTCTCTGTACTAACATATAAGATGTGTTTGCTTCATGTAAAGGATCACTGCAGAATTGGATGGAAAAGGGAGAAATTTAAAAGGAGGTTTAAATGCAAAGTGTTTCATCATCTTTGTTTTTATACATTACATGATAACATAGTGGCCGATGAACAACTGCACTTGCTAATGTTTAGCATTGATAAGGTGTTCAAATAAAAAAAAATACTTGCATAACAGTACAGATAGTAATAGTAACTTTCAAAGGTTACAAAACTGCCTGTTTTGGCAGAGCTAACCTTCACACCCTGAATGACATGATCTCATGCATTATAATTACATAGTTCTATTATTAGGAAAAATACGCATAAAACTAAGATGGGAATTGTCATATTTTCCTCCAATAGCAAAATAACCTTCTAACTTGCTTAAAGTAAATGTTAAAGTACGAATACACTAATAATGCTAGAGACAACATACAGTACATGTGAAAACAGAAATATACTGTAAGTTAAATTCAGTTTCATTATGTACTATAACATAGTTTTAGGATTTCACTGGGGTTTATTTGGGAAGAGAAACAGTGGGTCATTTTTTCCACTTGAGCTGAATGCTTTTGAATGTTACCCTGTAAGTGTAATAGTATTTAAGGATCTTTGGACAGCCCAGTGATTTTGAGTGTGCAGTGTGCTCTGTATCGTTGTTAGTTTGGTTAGCCATGTTTTGTCATTAATTGAATTAGGCCCAAGAGCTAATACAGAGAAAGGAGGAGGGATGCAAGGAGACAATAAGAGGAAAATATAGGGTTTACTACCCATATGTGTGGTTGGCTGCTAGACTTAAATACACTGATGCACAGCAGTGAGACTATTTGAGTAGTTTAGTACAGTGGGATGATAACAAAAAGAACTCAGGCCTTGAGTTTGATCATTTAGTATTTTTCAGAAATTCCCTAAAATAGTTAACCCAGAATCTTTACATGAAAAGAGTGTTACATGAGTATAAATAACTCTCTTGAGTGATGATGGTGAAAGCGTGATTGAGAGTGGCCTGTCTGTGAGAGAAGCTGCCTAGAGAATAATATGTCTAGAGTATCCAAGAGATTAGGCTCTTAACTAGGGTGTCGATGAACCTTCTAGTTATTCATAGCAAATTAAGAAAAATATATTTCTTTAACAGTATGATGAATGCATGTCATGTGCACGATTCAGTATTGGATAGTAGCTTGTTTATGTCCACTCGTATCACCCTGGGGTATGCACAGTATGTGCAGGAACAGTTTTGAATTAGCAGAGAAGACATGGGGCAGTGCTTTGGATGCAAAAATACTTTGTCTCAGGGTATTTAGGGGAGGAAGAGGGCTTATGAGAAACAATTCTTCAGCTCCTGTAAAAGAAAATAAAAGAAAATGCACTGACGCTTATGGCACTTAAAAGTACTCGTACAAGCCAATAGGGAGAAGATGCCATGATTTCAACTCCCGGCAGCAGCTTCATAATTCCTGAAACAACAATGTGGTTGCAAAAGCCAGACATTTTGTAAGCATATAAAAGGACAACAAAAATGAGTTTCCAAGTTTCTTTTTCCCCAATTGGCATAGAGGTTTGTAATTTACATTTTGCCTATCCAATAATTGAAGCACCTGAATTTTTTGGAACGTGTAGCATAGTCGAGGCAGCCAAAGGTGGTTTACAGCTGGAGCATAACGACTTTGCAGAAATATGTCTCTGTGGTGGGCACAGAGAGTGGCTGTTATACGGAGATAGAGGATCTGCCTGCAGCTTTGGGTTCATTTTGATCCAGAAGGTATATGGACCTGTGCCACGGTGCCTTTCTGCCTCCTGGCCACAGACTTCATCTGCTGGTCCTGCTCTCTGAGGGGGAGTATTGCACTACTGGCATTGCACTACCAGTCTGGAGTTCCACTGATGCTTTGCTACAGTGGTGAGATATTTACAGATTTGTGTGAATCAGGATTGTTATCAAAATGCTTTGCTTATCATAATATCAAGACATAAATAAGAAAACACAGACCAGATAAGCTGCAGGATACTGTATTGAAACACCCTGAAGACCTCTTTCAAAGGTCGCAACAATGGTAATAAAACAATGATTCCTTACGTGCTCATTTTAAGTTCCTCTTTTGAAAACTTCCTCTTCTGCTTAGTATTCAGTGGAGTTTTGTTTGTCTGCAGAGTACACCCATCTGAAAGACCTGTATCAAAACAAACTGAATAAGATATAGATCATAATATTGGATTGTAGGCTGCAGAAAGAGCAAAAATAAACCTGATTCTAACAAGCAACCCCAATAGTAAAGATACTTGCTCTTTAACACAAGATGGCTAATTTCAGTCTGTGTTACTTACCCCCTGTCCTTGACTGTCCAAATGGCAGTACATAATTCTGGCTAGTGTCTCCAGAGCTGGCTTGGTTTGAGTTGACCATGGTGTCCTTAGGTTCTTGCCCACAGTGACTTACTGGGTATCATTTAATTGATGACAAAACTGAATACTAATTAATTAATGGATGACAAGGAAACACAATAGTAAACATAGTGAAATTACAAGCAGCTAGCTTTCCTAAACAGCGAGCATCACATCAGAAGAGGAAGCTGTCTATCATACTGTAGATGCTATAATGTTACAATTTTTCATATACTGTTGATAATATTTTCTGAATATTTGGCCAGTAGTAATGCATAGGATGGATTTGGCATTGCAAAAAGAGTCAGATAACATGTTTTCTTTCCTTTGTAGGAGGAAGACATTACACAATACAATTTCAGTGTCTACAAGTACAACAGATATCGATGGCAGAAACGCATTTTGCAGGTGAGCGAAAATAACTGACAGATGCAGGGAAACAGAAGAATGTATTTCCATCTGAAATCCATTCATCCCCCTGAGAACCATGAGAATTGCTTCTCAAGAAAATTGTTTCGGTTTTAAATAAAATAAAGACAAATGTTTGTAAAATTGAATACACGACATACTGTAGATCTGTGGCATTGTTCAGATAGTTAATAATTAAATAACACTCAATTTAATGAGATATATAATATTTAATTACTGCCTGTTATAATGTTTGTATCAGTAGAATGCAAGAGGAATGTTTATACTACAGCATGTACTTTCCTGTTTCCTATAGATTTTATGAGTTTTGTAGTCTTTAACGTACTGTATACTGCATTCAAAAGGACCTGCTGCTTCATCTATCCATTGCAAGAAAGCAGTAAAGGTTGTGATGTGGTAGAGGTTGCAATCTGTTCCACTATGTTGTCTGTTTCTATCCAAAGGGCACAGGGCACATCTATGCCACGCACAGGATGCAAGTCCTTTACAATGAATCAGTGTTCAGTAAGATCTATTAAGATTCAAAATTGCAAAACATCAACACCGTGAATGGGGCTGTGAAATTCTAGCTGAATGTTGCTCAAGGTCAGAAACCACATGGAGATTCCAAATGACATGTGCCTAGTTAGACCAAAAGTATTGTAGGTGGTGATGGAATCTGTGCAATTGAAATGATACATTGAAATTGAAGCAAGGAAACTATTTTTGTTCCCTGGTTTTCTTTCAGATCGATTTTAAGGCAAAAGTCATCTGTAGTATTGAGAAAGGAATTGTCAAGAGGCAGCTGCCCTTTTCAACTGTGAAGTCGTGTGATGATGGGGTAGGGGCCAAGTTCTCCATCTCATTTCAGGGAAGGCATGACTATGAGCTGGAAGCATCATCGCTGGAAGACAAACAGAATGTGAGAAGACAAACACCCTGTCAGTGTACAGTAGGACAAAGCAGTTGAGACAGGAAACCTTCGCCTTAGTCCTTCACCCCTAAGGGCACTGTTGCTTTAAGACAGTGATCTTATTGCATATTCCTGCAACACCAGTCCTGCAGGTTTTAGATGTTTGTTAAAAATGTTCCATAACCTGTCGGGAACAAAATGTAAAATATTTCTTAGATCCCCGATACCCTGTCTGAGACTGTATTTGACTGCTCTTTTGAAAGTTGTGTTTTTTTTACTTAATTTTGAGTGATTCATTTTAATATGTTTACATGCCAAGCTGTGTCACCTTTGAGACACATCAGCAGATGTGTGACTGTAAATGCACCACAACTTCACTTCTACTCTTGCTTCTGCACATCTCATGCGCACCAGTGGAGAAGCCATATTTCTCTAGTCTGTTCCTCAAGGGCAATAGTACAAGACCTCAGGAGTTACATTAAGGTTAAGAGCAAAGGTTAAATTAGCACGATCGTCTTAATAGAACCCACTAAACCTTGCTGCAGTTTCTTAATTTGTTGATGATTTTAAGGAGACCTACAAAACCTGTTGGACTGTTCCCTTTAAGGAGCTCTGCACTAAGTGCACTATGGATGTATATCGTTGGTGACACTGGTCATGGTGCAATTTTTGAAACAAGCGCATTTTTTACACTGACACAGAGATCTCAGCACCTCAGAACTCAACCTTATTCAAGAGCAAAATGGGTTTTTAAAACAAATATGAAGGCTAAGAAGTTAGTTTTTATATTTTCTGGAGGGAAGATCAGCTGCCGATTAAACCTTTATAAACTTAAAGCCAATCTATCCAAAATACCTAGTAATCATTCTGATCAACTAAAAAAGTAATAGAATCAATTACTTGACCTGACTTGAACTGTTTTGCAGGTTTCTGTGTGTTTTGTATACTTAGCTCTTACTTTAAGTACAAATAACATTGGTTTCTCAGAAATGGATGTTTTTCTAATTTTGTCTTACTTTCTGTCTCCTTTGCAAGATTATGCAGCTAGTTAACACAATCATATACAGCAATATTTATGACTTTCCAATACCACCCAACTCGGATACCTATGAGCAGCCTGCAACATCAAATACCATTCGCGAAGGACCACTGGATTTACAGAGAGGGGGCTTGGCCTCAGTCACATGGGTGAGGTATGGAAGGTCTTGTTCCAGTAAGAAATTGGTGATTCCTCAAAAGTTTCATTTGTACCTTTAGCTCAACAAACACATTGACTCTGTACATGGCTTCCACATGTTTAATCAACAAAAGTCTTAAGAAAAGCTTAAATCCAAAATCTTATTCACATCTGTAGTTAATCGGTTCAAGAACACAATTAAGTTCACAATTGTTTTCTTGAAAAATGTCGTTTTTTCTTCAAGAAAAATGTAGCCACTCTCAATCTGGCTAAGGGACATTAATGCTTGTCACACACTTTTTGGTACAGTGATTTGTACAAGGAATAACATCTTAAACATTTTAAAAAAGAGAAAAAGGAAAATAATTTGGTGTTTGTAAATTTTAAATAATGCACCATTGTTCATTGAAAATGAAAACACTATGATAGTAAAATATCCTCCTTTGCCCCAGAGGTCAAATGTAAACTTCTGCAAAAAGGTTTGATTGTTCCTAATAATATCAGCGTTGTATAATGCATGAGTGGTAGTTTAGCTTTTAAATAGAGGACTAATATAATGCATTTGCCATACAACTGAAATGACATGCTTGACAGGGAACCATTATCTCTGTCATTGTAATTCACCTACAGCAGTAATCCAGAAATGTTCCCCGCAGTAATTCAAAGGCAAAAAATTACATTAAATCTGATATAAGGTCCCAGACTTACTGCATAGGGATACATTTTTCTTTTCTTATGGAATGTCAGCTTTGAAAGGAAGGCTCTACATGGACTGCACAGAACTATTTAAAGAAAAAGATATGGTGTCACACTTTAACAAAAAAAAATGAACAGAACTATTATGCTATAATCCAATTTTCCTGATGTTCTATATAGGCTTTCATGATGGATCTAATGATGATGGATTTCTTTTAGGATTGTCATGCGTGTTTCACTAGCAATGATTAAATGAATTGAAGTTCAGCTTCTACAAGGGAAGTGTGTTAGCCATTCTTTTGTTAAGAGCGGTGCTTATTAATTTTGACCTGTCTTTCCTTCACCAGGCCTTTTGAGGCCAAATGTCTGTGTTAAGTTATTAATCATACCGACAGGCTCTAAAAAAGCACTTTGAAGAAACCAAAGCCAGCACTTTCTTTATTGATTTTACAGGTGTGGTGTTACAAAGGTGGGATTTTTGCAAGGACAGTTTGCAAAATCAATATCTTAACCTTAAAACACAATCTTATGGATTGTGGTTCTGGGACAGTAGGGTTGTTGTACAGTAAGTCAGTTGAAGTGGCTATAAAGTGTCAGGGTAGTTGCATGGCCTTGATCCTGCTTCATGTGTTTTATGCAAAATCCTGTTTCTGACACATAAGGTATACTGTACAGAAGTATAATGCCTTGTCTGAAAAGAAGAACTATAGCTTATTATCAACATACTGTATCTGCTGTTCTGTTAGGTGCATGGCCAGACTTCAAGAGGGAGAGCTTGTCTTGTCTCCTGTTGGTAGCTGCCAAGACAATGATGACATCAATGCCACATCCCAGTCCTTGCCTGTGGTCATACACTTCTCTGATGGGAATGCCAGCGTGGAGAAGCACAGAGGCTGTGACACCTTCACAGTGCTCACCAAGAAAAATGAGTATCTGTGAGTGATGGTATCGCCCTGCTATCTCCTACTCTGGCTCTGCAATGCTACTGTGCTTCAGGTGTTGTACCATGCAAGGGATATCCATCTACTTGCTTGCTTTATCAGCAGATAACCAAGCAGTTACTTCTGGACTTGTTGAAGGTGAGATTAGATATCCCCACAGTGGTGCAAACCTTTAACACTGGCAAAGAAATAGGTATTCAAAGTCCCTGAGGCATTCCACAATGCATTCCTTAAGTGAGCAGAGCTATCTTAAGGTTTACTTCCTAGTTTACTTTCCATTGGCTTTGGGGGAACAGGTGCCATTCTGTATTGCTGAAGTGCCCTGCTTTTAAAAGGCTTGCAGAAATGGATTTTTACCATGAAAACGGCCTTATCTGAAAAAACCAGCACAGATAGTGTAGCCTCTTGATTAAACAGCCATGACCTGCTAATGCATTTTTTTCTTACATTTTATTCTTTTTTGTTTCCCTACAAACAAAACAAGTCTACAAGTGCTATACAAAAGGAACAATCTCTTTTTCTCATTTATTCAATGCCATCTCAAAAGCTCATTTAAAGACCATTTCTTCTTTTAGGTTTCGGGTACCTGCTAGTAATGATGTGAACAGCACAGAGGCCATTAAGATGGATCGGAATGAGTGGGTGCAGGCCATAGACAAGTTCTGCCTGGATTGGAAACGCAAATCTCAGTCAGAAGACAACAGTATATATGAGGTCATCAGAATGCCAGAGATCCAGGAGAACAAGGAGATAGAACAAGACAGGAAAAAGAATGACGAAGAGGAAAAGGTAGCAGAAGAAACGAAGCCCGCTGTTTTACAACTGGAAGGGAAGAGAGCCTCTGGAGAATCAGATGTTGCCCAGGCTTCAACTCCACATCCCCCTTCACCTCCTCTATTTCCTCCTGTGCCTGCAGTTCGCAAATTTACCCCTGCACTGGTCAGTTCTTTCACCCCTCTGCCTTCTCCCAACGCACCTATGCCTATCCCTGGATTTGCCATGAATCCTCCTCCACCACCTCCAGTTCCTGCCCCACCTCCTTTGCACAACAGATTGAATGCTAAACCCACATCAAAGAGAACTAAAGCGTTTCACTGGGACCTGGTGTCCCAAGAAAGGGTGAGCATCTTTATAAAATTAAATTGACAAAATGAATTCAAAATAGCTTTTCATATACAATACAATGATGACCTGGATATTAACTTCCATTTATACAGCTGGACATTTCACTATAGAAACTATCTTACATAAGGGCACAACATCAGTGTCCCATTCATGTTTGAATATACAATATTACAGCTGCAGAACCATGACTGTTATACCACAGTGCTGTTTCAAAAAAGCTTCTTATGTTTTAAAGTATTAGAATGTATTAGAAAGTATTTTAAAGTATGAGAATGGACCTATTCTGAGTGCATTATTGTATTACACACTGTACATTGCAATAGTGCATATCGTACAACACAACTAAAGGATATACAGTAAAAGTGAAACAAGCAGAAAATGGAGGAATAATTTTTACTTGATGGAAACGTTTGTTTGAAATCCTGAGAAAAAAAACAGCTTTCTCTTGGCACTTAAAAGAAGTAAAATACTTGGAGTAAACAGAGAAACAAATAAGGCTTTTGCTGTACAGTAATTTCATATATTTCAAAATAAGTTAAATTCAACTTGATCAAATCACCTTGCAATGGGAGTTGTATTGTGTCCATTAAGAACTATTACTAAGGTCAAAGGTTAAATGGCTTTATACTGTATGCCTAATACAGTGTTTCTTTGCTTCTCAGAACCTCAACACAGGGACCTACTGTATTCACTGATGTCAGCAACAGCTTTGTCATGCCTTGTAGCTTTGACTAAGCTTACTGTGTAACCCCAAAAAATCTTAAGGATAACAACTTTTCAGAATTCTTAAGAAATTAGGATTTTAAAAAAGGTCACTTATCTTTCAAAGCCTCTAGCAGTCTTTACAAAAGTCTCCAGTTACATAAATAATAATGCTTACACATACAATACTAGTACTTTTCTGGACACTCCACTCAAAGCACTTTACAGGTAATGGGGACTCCCCTCCACCACCACCAGTGTGTAGCCCCACCTTGATGATGCAACGCAGCTAAAGTGCACCAGTACACTCACCACACACCAGCTATCAGTGGGGAGGAGAGCAGAGTGATGAAGCCGATTCATAGATGGGGATTATTAGGAGGCCATGATTGGTAAGGGCCAATGGGAAATTTGGCCAGGACCTACATACTTTTCTCTCACTATACAATCTCCTATTGTAATGTCACTTTTTTACAAATGACTTTTCCCATACCATCATGATTCATTTCTATAATGAATGAGTGCCACTCAGTAAGGAAGGTGGACTGTAGTATTTCTAGTTGATTATTACTGGTATGACAATATTAACAGGTTGGTAATATTGCTTGTCCTGTTGTAAACTGTTTTTTTGGCAGATTGGGAAATCTGTGTGGACACGGAGTGATTCTGGGAAAATTAAAATTGACGGAGAGCGGCTGTTTGAGCAATTCTCCGTTCAGGATGTGGGAGTCATTGGAGGGGTGGAGTCGAACAACAACCCTCAGATCATGTTAAACCAGAAGATAGCCCATAACTTCAGTAAGTCTTTTCTATCTAAAGAAATACAAAAGCATATATATACTGTATATATTTTTACATTTTATACTGCACCAGATTGGGAATCATTAATTGGTAATCGACTAAGATAGTGAAGACAATAAATGTCTTTCTTCAAAATTTACAACAGCTGGTGTTGATGGCACAGTAATCTCATAGTGTTTGCTACTATATTGTATGTAGGAAAGCAGATATTACTTTGCCCACACAAACAAGTGTTGTAGTTATAGTCGAAAACCAGTGCTTGAAAGACTTTCTGTGCTCTGAATTGGCTACGTTGAGTGATTGAGCCATTAAGTATACACTATATTTATGGACTACATTGAGTCTTTATACTTCAGTGTCCTGCATTAAAGTATTAGAGCGTCTCCACAATATAAAAGACGTGTAAAATGATTTCACTTCTCCTCACTCTCTTTGCCCCTGTAAATAACCAGCTGGCTTTCCAATAGCACAAACTCATTAACTGTACTTGTGTTTTACCAGAGGTTTGTGTGTGTATGTTACACAAGCTGGATGTGCTTTTGTTAAATGCAGGGTCAAATAAATACACAAATGATGTGAGTCGTGCTGTTATAAAATTGCATATCTATTTGAATAGCTGAATCTTAAATCAGCTGCATTTTTCAGAACAAAAAAGTTCAAAATCTTAAATACAGATGCTTCACATGTTCAGACCTTTTTTTCTGGCAAGAAGAAATAGCAGTACTGTATTAGTAAAAGATCAAGTATTAGAAACAAATCAACATCCTTGTACTGTTCTCTTTTAAACACTATAGTTACTTTAGGTGTTACATAAGGCTTTGTTAAGAAACAGAGCCTTCAACTACTGAGGAGGAAGCATATAATTTTAGTAACAGTGAATAGCTAGATCAAGACAACAATACATGAACTGCAATGAATTACAAGGAAATAAAGCCTTAAGGGAATGCCTGACAAGATAATGTATGAGAGCTGAGCACAGGTTTTGATAGTAAGAGAAACTGCTGAAACTGGTACAAAACAGCTGTTAGAAAGCATTTTGTTTTAAATGCAAACTAAAAGATTTTTAGATAATGATTTTTCTTAATTTATCTATGTGTATATTGATTAATAAATGATTGGGAAGCAGTCTTTATTACAGTTAAATGTCTAGACACAGTCATGGGTAACATAAGGAAACGAAAAGGACTTTGCACAAGATGGGAGAAACCAACTGAAACTGAAAAACATGAAGCACTATACTGTACAAAAGTCAGGTTTTGAGCTGATTTCTGCTTTTCTCTGCAAGTTCTATTTGGGCTTATTAAGTTCCAATATAAAACAAACAAATACTATTTAGACACTTATACATCACCCTCAGATTCACTCATTAGACTTTGTTTAGGAATGTGGAAATTCTAGATTTGATCTTAGCATCCCATAACTGACACCAGGAGGTTAACTTTTGCTGTGATGTTGATAAAAAACATTCAAAATCAGTTTCCTGCTTTAATGGGTCAGCAGCATTTCAAAAGGGAGGTAGAATAGACATATAACCAGCTTCCAAATTGTCTTAGTCTGGTTTGTAAGGGGGCAGATGGTGTTCTTCCTCTCAAACTAAAATGGAAAAATAATCGAATACAGGTGGCAGTGGCCAGAGAATCCAGTGCAAACACTCTTCTTGATAGAAAACACATAAAAGACACACAACTGATTTATTTTCTTTAGGGCTGTCTGTTAAATCGCAGCCTGGTTAAGGAGAGGGGAATTCAAATCATATGGATACAATAGATATACTGCAACAAACTTTATTCCTTATTTTTTTATGCCATTGAAAAAACTACAGCATTCATCTGTATTTTTGCCCATTCTGATTTGCAAGATATGTCCATTAGTGTAATTACTGATTGTCCTCTCATTCTATTGCACTTAGTTTCCTTTACTGTCAAAAAAAGGAACCAACAGCCCTGATATTCACCACTGGTCCTGTATATGTCAAGGAATCTGATCGGTAGAATAGGAGGATCCTTGTGCGTGACCGTGAATCCCACAGAACACAAAGTAGCAAAGGGACAAGCCAAAAGACAAGATCCAGAAGCTAGGTCAAAAAGGGTCCAGTAATGGGAGACATCCAAAAAACAATCCAAAAGGCATGGTCAAAAGGCAAGGTCAAACAGTTAGTAACAGGAGATCAGTCAGAGGGTTTGGAAACACACACAGGAGAATACTACAAGAGACTTCTCACTAGTGAGCTGTCATTGGGTTGGGGTGAGAGGGAACCTTAAATACTGAAAGGAAAGGGACGTGGGAGGATAATTGGTTTGGGAGTGAGAATTTTTGGAATCTGGTGCATGTGGGAATGTGATGGGTTCAATTAGGAATGTCAGTGGGTTTGGGAATGCAACGGCGTTTGCGAGGGAGAGTGTGGGGTGTGACAGTATGGTGGCCGTATCTTCCAATTTGCATTCTACACTGGAGTGTTAATGACCTTATTTGAATTGACTGTTCACTTAATGTGTCTATTTTACCACTGTTGCTGTGCAATTACACACTGGAAAGTATAGGTAAGCCTCAAAACCTGGAGGACTGTGTCAAGTGCTGTTCTTAAACACTATTGACAGGTGAAAAAACTGAGACATTTTTAACATTTGTTTTGTGAAGTGCTTCTCTTATTATCCAAATGTTGATTTTTGCAAGACATTCTTTACCCTATGACATCAACAGTGAAAACACATTTCTGAAATTCTTCTGAAAGCAAAATACCATGAAAAGATTGACATGCACTCTGTGACATGACAGGCCTGTAATTCCACATACATTTCAAAGTGAATTTAAGTAAATTTAGCTTTATTGTGCCTTTAGAAACTAGCTTACTACTAATGTCAGACGACTATTCAATTTACCATTTAATCATCTCTCAAAAAAATCATTGTGAATAAATAAAAGTCCCTTCCTAGTTGTTCTCACTATAGATAGCAAACTGGACAAAGCATACCATGCCCTGCTGGATACCTAGATAGAGTAAGTTAATTGAAGCAAAATTAATACTTTTGTCAGTGAAAAAGTATTCTCTTTTTGTAAATAGAGAAAATGCCCAGTTGATGGCAGCAACAGACAGCAGTAGGAACTTGGTGCACTTTTCAGTGTTGGGTTGTCTAATGTTTTTTGTCTTAAGAGCTTATGCAAAGTGTTCATTGATTAAAGAATGAGTGATATTCTGACAAATCCCCACTTACAAATGCAAAAGTAGTTTATGGAATAGAATTAACCATTTATATTCATTTCACGTTGATAGGTGAAAAGGCCTCTAACTGGATAATATTATAATAATACTATATTTAGTTCAAGTAGGAAGCTGTGTCAGCATGCATAGGCTGCAAAGGAACAGGTAAAGGTTTATTCCATGCCTAAAAGAGAAGAAAAGAAACACATTTTTTGTGTTTCTTTCCTTCTCTTTTCAGCATACTACATTTATACACTGTTTTTCAGGCAATGCTCCCAATATATTTTACAGCACTGATAAGAAATTACCTAACAAAATGATCTACCTCAAGAATGAGTAAAGTAAATTAATACGTAAATTAAATTAGTATGTTTTGAGGTCTAACTTAATAGACACAATTGTGCCAGCACTATTGTTACAGAGTGGGATTTAAAATGTTTTCTTTGGAATCACCATGAGATTAAAAATCACTTTTGGTGGTGCATCCAAAAATCACTGCAAGTTGGCTGAAAACAAATCCGAAATCACAGAGGTACAGTATATAGAAGAAAAAAATGTGAAGATAACTTGGAGATACCACTTTTCCTACATTTCTTTTCAGTCCTGAAATACAGCTATGCCATCACAACTTGTCTACGGTTGGAGGGAATCCTAACCCTAACCCAAGCTAAGGATTGGGAAGGTTAGGGTTAGGGTTCAGTCTACCTTCAAAATATCAACTTCACCTTCTACCCATTTCATGAGAAAATATATATCAGCAAATGAAAATAACAGTCAGAACCGATATAGCAACCTCCAGAAAACAAAGAGAAAGCATCAACAATGCCTACATTGTGTTTTTTGTCAAGCAATCTGTGAGTGGAAATCTGATGTTGAATGGTGTCCTCAATGAGCACTGTTTTAGGCTTAACTAGAGTAAGAGTCAGGAATAGCCAGTAAATACTCAATTTAGTTGATAATATGAGTCTCTGGAATGAAAGCCAACTGAAAAAGTTTAAAATCGTTACCCCCTTTCTTCAATCTTTTGCTTTTAGGGCAATATAGACAACATTCCCATTTATGGCAATGCAGTGCAAGTAGCCATATAT